TTTTTGTCTTTTGATAATAGCCATTCTAACAGCTGTGCGGTGATATCTCATTGCGGTTTTGATTCGCGTTTCCCTGACGATAGTGATGTTGAGCACCTTTTCATATGCTTGTTGGCTACTTGAATATCTTCCTTGGAAGAATGTCTATTCAGGTCCTTTGCCCATTTTTAAATGGAACTACAGGTGTACCTCATTTTATTGTGCTTCAGTTTACTGCACTTCGCAGATATTGCGTTTTTTACAAATTGAAGGTTTGTGGCAACCCTGTGCCAAGCAAGTCTATCAGCGCCGTTTTTCCAACTGCATTTGCTCACTTCATGTCTCTGTGTCACCTTTTGGTAATTCTCACAATATTTCAAACTTTTTCATTATTATTATATTCGTTATAATAATGTTTCATTTTAATGATGATCTGTGATGAGTGATCTTTGATGTTACTATTGTAATTGGTTTGGGGCATGCCCATGAGCCACACCCATATGAGACAGTGAACTTAATCAATAAATTGCTGTGTGTGTTCTGACTGCTCCACCACCTAGCCATTCCACCATCTCTCTCCCTCTCCTCCAGTCTCCCTATTCCCTGAGACACAACAGTATTGAAGTCAGGCCAATTAATAACCCTACAATGGCCTCTAGTTGTCCAAGTGACTCACAGGTCTCTCACTTTAAATCAAAAGCTAGAAATTATTGAGCTTAGTGAGGAAGGAGTGTCAAAAGCCAGGATGGGTCAAACAGTTAGCCAAGTTGTGAACGTAAAGGACAAGTTCTTGAAGGAAACTAAAAGTGCTATTGCAGTGAACACATGAATGATAAGAAAGTGAAACAGCCTTATAACTGATATGGAGAAAGTTCTAGTGGTCTGGCTAGAAGATAAAACCAGTGACAATATTCCATTAAACCAAAGCCTAATTCATAGCAAGACCCTAACTCTCTTCAAGTCTATGAAGGCTGAGAGAGGTTAGGAAGCTGCAGAAAAAAGTTTGAAGCTAGCAGAAGTTGGCTCATGAAGTTTAAGAAAAGAAACCATGTCAATAACATAAAAGTGCAAGGGAAAGCAGCAAGTGCTGATGTAGAAGCTGCAGCAAATTCTCCTGAAGATCTAGCTAAGATCATTAATCAAGGTGGCTACACCAAACAGCAGATTTTCAATGCAGACCAAACAATCTTCTATTGGAAGAAGATGCCATTTAGGACTTTCATAGCTAAAGAGGAGAAGTCAATGCATGGCTTCAAAGCTTCAAAGGACAGGCTGACTCTCTTGTTAGTGACTAATGCAGCTGGGGACGTTAATTTGAAGCCAGTGCTCATTTACCATCCTGAAAATCCTAGGCCCCTTAAGAATTAGGCTAAATCCACTCGGCCTGTGCTCTATAAACAAAACAACAAAGCCTGGATGACAGCACATTGTTTACAACATGATTTAATGAATATTTTAAGCCCACTGTTGAGACCTACTGCTCAGAAGAAAAGATTCCTTTCAAACTGTTAGTGCTCATTGACAATGCACCTGGTCACCCAAGAGCTCTGATGGATATGTGCATGGAGAAGAATGTTGTGTTCATGCCTGCTAACACAACATCCATTCTGGAGCCCGTGGATCAGGGAGTAATTTTGATTTTCAAGTCTTATTATTTAAGAAATACATTTCGTAAGGCTATAGCTGCCATAGACAGTGATTCCTCTGATGGATCTGGACTATGTAAATTAAAAGCCTTCTGGAAAGGATTCACCATTCTAAATGCCATTAAGAATGTTCATGACTCATGGAAAGAGGTCAAAATATCAACATTAACAGGAGTTTGGAAGTAGTTGATTCCAACCCTCATGGATGACTGATGGGTTGAAGACTTCAGTGGAAGAAATAACTGCAGATGTGGTGGAAGTAGAAAGGGATCAGAATTAGGAATGGAGCCTGAAGATGTGACTGAATTGCTACAATCTCATGGTAAAACCTGAACAGATGAGGAGTTGCTTCTGATGGATGAGCAAAGAAAGTGGTTTCTTGAGATGGAATCTACTCGTAGTAAAGATGCTGTGAAAATTGTTGAAATGATAACAAAGAATTTAGAATATTACGTAAACTTAGTGGATAAAGAAGCAGCAGAATTAGAGAGGATTGCCTCCAATTTTGGAAATTCTACTGTGGGTAAATGCTATCCAACAGCGCTGCATGCTACAGAGAAATCATTTTTGAAAGGAAGAGTCAATCAATTTAGCAAACTTCACTGTTGTCTTATCTTAAGAAATTGCTTCCGCCACCCGAATCTTCAGCACCACCACCTTGATCAGTCAGCAGCCATCAAAATCGAGGCAAGACCCTCCATCAGCAAAAAGATTTTGACTTGATGAAGGCTCAGATAGTAGCATTTTTTTAGCTGTAAAGTGTTTTTTAATTAAGGTATGTAACATTGTTTTTGTAGACAGGCTTTTGCACACTTAATAGACTACAGTATAGTGTAAACATAAATTTTATATGCACTAGGAGACCAAAAAATTTGTGTGACTCACTTTATTGAGATCTTCACTTTATTATGGTGGTCTAGAACCGAATCCACAATATCTCCAAGGTATGCCTGTATTTATTTTTTTGCTATTGAGTTATATAAGTTCCTTATATATTTTGGATTTTAACCTCTTATCTGATATGAGATTTGCAAATATTTTCTCCCAATCTGTAGGTTGCCTTTTCATTTCACTGATTGCTTTTTTTGTGGCACAGAAGCTTTTTTGCTAGATGCAGTCTCACTGTTTATTTTTGCTTTTTGAGTGTTGTATCCATAAAATCATTGCCAAGACCAATGTCAAGGAGATTTTTCCCTATATTTTCTTCTATGGCTTCAAGTCTTAATTTAAGTCTTTAATTCTTTTCAAGTTAATTTTTGTGAGTGATATAAGATAGGGGTTCAGTTTCATTTTTTTGCATGTGAATATCCAGTTTTCCTAGCACTATTAATTGAAGAAACCATCTTTTCTCCATTGAATATTTTGATTCCTTTGTTGGATATTAGTTGGCCATATATGCATGTGTTTATTTCTGAGCTCTCGATTCTGTTCCATTAGTCTATGTGTCTGTTTTTACGCCAGTACCATATTTTTTTGATTATTATAGCTTTATAATATGGGGACTATGATGCCCCTAGCTTAGTTCTTCTTTCTCAAGATTGCTTTGGTTATTTAGTGTCCTTTGGGGTTCCATATGAATTTTATGTTTGTTTTTTCTACTTCTGTAAAAAACAAAAATGATATTGGAATCTTGATGCTCCAGTCATGAACATGGAATATCTTTCCATTTATTTGTGTCTTTTTCACTTTCTTTCATCAATGTCTTATAGTTTTCAGTGTACAGATCTTTCACCTCTTTGTTTAAATTTATTCCTAGGTATTTTATTGTTTTTGATGCTATGGTAAGTGGGATTGTTTTCTTTATTTCTTTTTCAGGTAATTCATTGTTAGTATATAGAAATGCAGCTGATTTTTGTATATTGATTTTGTGTCCTGTAACTTTACTGAATTTGTTTATTAGTTCTAATAGTTTTTTGGTGGAGTCTTTAAGATTTTCTATGTATCAAATGATGTCATCTGCAAAAGGAGACAATTTTACTTGTTCTTTTCCAATTTGGATGCCCTTCCTTCCTCCCTCCCTCCCTTCCTTCCTTCCTTTCTCTGGCTAGGACTTCCAGTACCATGTTGAATAGGAGTGGTGAGAGTGGGCACTCTTGTCTTCTTCCTTATCTTAGAGGAAAAGCTTTCAACCTTTCACCATTGAGCATGATATTAGCTATGGGCTTGTCATATATGGACTTTCTTGTGTTGAGTTATGTTCCTTCTATACCCAATTCATTGAGAATTTTTATCATGAATGGATGTTGCATTTTGTCAAATGCTTTTTTTGCATCTATTGAGATGATCGTGTGATTTTTCTCTCTCATTCTATTAATGTGATGTATCACATTTGTTGATTTGTACATATTGAACCATCCTTGCATCTTAGGGATGCAAGATATAAAAAAGACATTATTTTTTATTGCTGATGGGAAAATGAAAAGTAATCTGTCAGCATCTATTAAAATGTAAAATGTGCATACCATTTGCCAAGCAGTTCTATATTGGCCAAATAACTTATGGTACTTCTATGGAATTATTTTACAGTTTTAAAACAATTGTTACATCTATTTTTTTATTTGAAGGACTCTCCACTATATATTATTAGAGGACTGTCTGCTATATATTATTAAATGCCTAAAGAAATTTCAGAGAATGTTTATTATACAATCCATTTTAAAAATTAAAATAGAATATATATTAGTATATATGGATGGGTTTGTATGAAATATATGAAAAGAGACATGCCAAGCCATTAACAATTGCTATATCATCAGGAGTGAAAAATGGGGAGCAAGAGGGGAGATTATTAATATCTATTCTATGCCACTTTATTGTTTAACTTGGTAAAACAAATGTTACATTTTAATTTTAAAAATATCATAAATGTCTTTCAATGATAAATATAAATACACATTATAGGACATTGGTAGTTTGGCTTTGAGCATATGTAAATACTGTATAGTATTAAGAAAGGAGAACCAACATTACTACATTTGGTCAGCGATGTCTTCATGGAGAAAACAGCAGGTCTCATTTGACCCATGTGTCAATATTCTATAAATCTACTTACAGTTAAGAAGTTTGGAATTTGAGTTTCTTCTTTTGACCGAATTAAAACTTAGTAATTTTAAGAAATAGTTACTAGGAAACCAGATTATACAATAAGTCACCCTAAACAAAAGAAAACAATGCTTCATTGTTTAGAATGTTAAGATCGTCCTGTTTTACTCTTTATAACTGCCCAATCTAAGGGTGAAGACCTACTGTGGCTAGCATAGCTATGGCTAAATTAAACACTATCTTTTTGAAAGTTGAGGGTCTTTTTTTTTTAACATACTTGCAATATATACACTTGAAACAAAGATTGTTTATCATTTTTCTTTTTTATTTCAGAACGCTTTACCCTGTACAGCTCTAAAAACCTTAGACAAGCATGGAATAAGTAAGTCTTTATAAAGATTGTGTTCATTCTCTCTCTCTTTCCCTTTTAATTTTTAACGCTCTCCTGAGAAGGTTGTCATGACATTTTTTCCTTTGTTCATCCAATTGTCCAATCATTTAACCAGTAAACAGTTATTAAGCCCTGACTGTGTGCCAGCTGCCATGTTCACCCTGAGCCAACAGTGTTGTATGAGTTTGGGTTCCTAGAGCAATGTGGCATTGCTTCAGAGCTGTAAATCCAAAAGTTCATTGGGGTCAACTTCTTGTAACTAGATTCCAAGAAATGTTTTAGCATGGGCAAAATAGCATTTATTAAGTGTAATATAATGACTGACTTTCTAATCTAAATAATGTTGGTGACAACCTTTGAGCTAGATAAAACTGATTTTATCAGATTTTTCCAATTTACCCATTTATTCCTCTAAGCTTTCTTGGGAAGCTAGGTACCTGTATCACTTGAAGTATATGTACTCCATTTATTTAATTTCTATTCTCTCATCTGACCTTGTTGAAATAGTTTTATTTATGGATTTCAAAATTTGACAAAATCTGAAGATCCGGCTTTCTCAAGTTATTCAGAGGTTTTATTGCAAGCCAACCTGTTAGTAAATCATTGAAAGTTGGAAAGCAGAGCAGTTGAGTCACTCTCATGTATTTGTGGGTATCATGTGTCAAGTGTTATGCTGGGGAAAAGGTAACCAGAACTGCTTTGATGAAATAAACTATGATTTTTCATAACAAAATTTTGTCAATGGAGAATGTACTGTTATTGTCTCCTTTTTTACTGTTATGACATGTTAAATTTTAGACACCATCAGTTATGAAAATAAAAAAACAAGAAAAAGCCTTTATATAATAAAAATGCCTTTAGTCAATGCTGTCAGTCAAAACAATGGATAGCTTATTATGAGGAATTCATGGGATGAATACATTAAATTCTACAGTGGTTTATTTGAAAAATTTGTCAGTTTATTTTGATTAAATTTATACGTGGAAGAACACACTGATATAAATATTTTTGTCTAATACAAGGTTTTGCATTTGCCATTTGAAGAGTCAGTTCTTCATATCTAGAGTCTCCCCTGGGAGGCATACCCTCTGCTGGGAGCATTCTGTATGTGTTCCTCACCCTCCTACCCTCCCCCTCACTTTACTGATCAGTGGTCTAACATTTTAATTATATGCTTCCATACACCAGGCAATATATGCAGTACACAGTTCCTACCTTAATTAAATGATCAAACACATTCCGCTCTCATAATTGTTCAAAAAGTTTGTCTAACCAGGTAACTACTTCACGAAATAATTCTTGATAAAACATTTGAGTCTCTAACCCTATCTTTGAAGTAACAGGAAAATCTGGCAAATGTACACATAGTAGCATTTGTGGGGAATAGCCTGCAATTTAGACGGCTTTCCACTTCCTTCCTTCAAAGGGACAGAGCTAGAATGACTTCCAAATCACCCAGGAAGATAAATGGTAGTTCCTATCCACTTAGAATGGTCTACAAAAGATGGGGAGGTCTGTAGATGATGCTAAGTGATATTTCTTCCTCTGGCCTCTGGTGGATATGACCCCACGCTGTTTACACCTGATCCACTCTAGTTGTTCATTTTTGCAACTTGTATTCAGCACCTGCCATCATAGGCATTCTAACACTCAGAGGAATGGCCTTTCTTGTTCAACTATTCCATAGTGCCTAGTGAGATGCGTATCAGAGAAGATGCTTTTGTGCATTTATGTTACTCTATCCCAGAAGAAACTAGGTTATTTCCTGTCTTTCAAAAAGGAAAGTAAAATTGAAGTAGTGTTCAAGCATCGCTTCACTTCATTCTGACCACCTAAGACCTGATGTCGTCCTTTCTCTGAGTGGAATCATTCACGTCGCAACAAGAGTAGTTAATTCTGTCGACAAAAATCAGGATGTGCAATCTTCTGGTATTGCTTCTTTAGAAATTTTAAAAACTATGTGCATTGTGCTCAATCTCTAAATTTTTCTTAGAAGATGCTAGATATCAGTAAATATGCTTTTCCTTTTGAGGGCAAATAAGAATTCTTTAGAATATGATTTTTCACAAAATGAAAACGCAATTTTTCTTTAAGCTATCACTTCAGAAACATTTATTGTTTGCATTTTCCATAAACATAGGATTTATAGTTTTTCTATGAAAACAAGTTCTAACATACTGAAGGAAGTATTAGATTTTCATGTAAAGTCTGTTTAATCCGTTGGTAGAAATTGCGGTTAATGTCTTTCTTTTGATCTCTCCATCACATAGGCTTTCTTGAAAAAATTAGAATTAATTCAAAGTCATTTAATAAACTGAGTTGTACCCTTAGATTACTTTTAAAATGTTTTAGGAAAAATATTAAAAGCGGAGCTTGATTTTAAAATTACAAACATGACTTGTTCAGAACCGTGCTATTTTTGAGTCCCCGTAAGTCTTATTTTTTGTTGACTTAAGGATTTATTTTAGAAAACACTAAGTAATAAAATCATCACTGAAAATATTATAAAAGTATTACTCTCTGGTATCCCATTGTTATGGACTGAATCCTTAGAGCCGAGCTATAGCCTCTAGCCAATTCAAACCCAATGTAATTTAGAGAGAACTGAGAAGTCAGAGACATTGATTACGTTATTGATTCTTTCTTCAAATGGACTTGTGACCTTGCGGCCACCGTCAACATTTCAACATCTCTCACTTCAAAGTGAGGTCTAGATTTGGAAGAACTGCGTTTAAAGGCTGTGAAGCAAGTTCTGGCTTTCTCCATCGCTGCTCACTAATTTGCTTTTCTACAGCACAATTACGAAACTAAAGCAATTGGTAAATTCTCTTGTACAGCAGTAATACGTTCAAAATAAAGTGAACTAATTTGCAAGATTTGAATTTGGATTCCATTTTGATGGGTTAATATAAGATAGACAGGTTAGCCTAAAAAAAAGTAAGTCACTGTTCAAAATTAGAAGTAACAATGGCTTTAAAAATATGCATTAACTCAGCTATTAAAGCTAGAGGATATGTTAACCTGCCTAAGAGAGTTAAGAATTTCTAGAGAAATGAATCCTCTCTTTGAATGGCTATAACAAGTGACCCAGTTTATTTGGGGGCAAAGTCTGCCCTAGGTAACACCCATGCAATTCCCTGCTGACTTCATTTATACCAGTAACCATGGGCGTAATTTTATCCTTTGAAGGATTTTTTAGTATTCTGGGGAAACAAAGCAGTGATGGGAGAAAAATATCAAAAGATCCAGCAGATATCTAAACTCAAAAGGATAATATAAAGAAGAAATTTTAATTATAGGATTGAGAATAATAAATATATATTAATAAAGAAAAGAAAGTCTTTTTATTCCCTCATGCTGGAAGTGCATGATCCATGTGGTCTCTTCCTACTTAAAGGAGATTTGGGATTAAAGGGAGACAAATCTTAATTTTATAAATACATGTACTGTTTTCTGTCTGCCTTCAAAACATTCCATTTTATTTCACTGGAGTTATAAAGACTCTCTCTATTTTTCTTCCAGATCTCTCTATTTATAGTTGTCTGACATTGGCATGTATGTGCAATCAACTAAGAATTTCAGCCACTTAAAAGATCTTTTATTATTTTGGCTGGAGAAGAAGTCTTAGTATATGCTCTCCAGCACAGTTAAGGGTAAGATTCCAGGAACAGATTTGCTTGTTTTGGAACTTTTTAACAGCTGAACAATTTTGGAGGTTTGAAAGTAGCAAAGAGAGAACTAAGCATAAATCCCCACAGTCACAGAAGACAGATTTGGAAAACATAGCTCATTGCTAATAAAGCGAAGCACGTCCACAGACATGACTACGTGTACGCCAACCCTGTCCTGCTAGCTCCACCCACATGCTCTCATTCTGCTTACAATCCTTCTTGTTAAAATCCAATTGTATTTCTCCTAAGAATTTAAAAAACTGATACTCTAAAATTGATAACAAATACAAGAGATATTGTAATGAAGCTACCTTTACGGAAATAGAAAAATAGAGAAGAAAACATTTACCTGCATATATTTGAAAGTCACAAACCCTGATATAGACGATTTAGAAGTATTTCCTAACTTTGTATTCTTGAATTTTCCTTGAATATTTTATCTATTTTGGTAGTTAACTTCCAAAACACATTTTAAAAATGACTTGCTAGATAGTTGTGTTACATGTACATAAAACATAATGTGTTTAAAATAATATTTAGAGGAATAACATGAATTTCGCTCTGTATATTTATGTTGGTGACTATCTATTGTATTTTTCTTATTGTCGTAATTGATTGCTTTCCTTTAAGATTTAAATGAGTGCCTTCTCAAGAAACCTAAAGGCCCTGTTTTCTACTCTGCCTTATTATTCTAAGTTGATCTAAAATTTTCTAAAATAATAGCATATGGCAAAGTAAGTGAGCTTTCCGTTTCTTTGCCAGTTGTTTAGAAATGTGAGAGGCAGTCAGAGCAGTTATCAACACTAGGAGGAGCACTTGAGTTGAGCCAGATCTTTAAATCATCTTTCTCTACTTTCACATTTTTTCTTTGTTGATCATTTTTGTTATTATTCTATTTACTTCAAAGTAACAGTTTTAATTTATTTAGTGCCTGGAGATTTCTTCTCACAATATTTTCAAAGAAATTATTATTTCCATCATCAACACCCTTTTCTTAGGGATGGGTTTCCTGGGATGAAAAGCTCTACAGCAGACACTAAAGCAGACATTTTGGAATTCCATCCTCTCAACTCAAAGGATGAGCAGGGGCTGCAATAGTCAACTGCCCAGCTCTGTGGATTCCTTATATTCATCATATTCGTTTTATTCATATGTCCAGCATTGGGAGGCCACGTGGGGTATGGTTCCTCACCACATTCCATACCCTTGAAAATACATTTTTCAACACATGGACAGTCAGATCCAAGTAGGTCTCTTGTCCTGACCTTGGACAACCACACGTGGTATTGTTTGGAGGCCCCAAAATCTCATCTGCCTGCT